CGAGCCCCTACCAAATGTTTTTAAGGTGTACTAACTGCGTCACGGCATCGTCAAGTTGTGAAGGCGGAAATTGTTTTGACGTTTGTTGTGGTTTATAGCCCAGCTTATTTGGCAACTCGACCCACAACCACTCACCCATTGCCGCCAACAAAAAATGGCTGCTCATCTTTATTGTTGGTAGCAACAGGAAGTTATGCCCATTTTTCCCCGATCTGACCCCTTTATAGTAACCATAGCTATTTGTGTGACGAAGTTTTGTTTTTTCTTGGGCAAATGAGATTGCGGTCTCGACGCTTGGCTGTTGTTTCACTTCGTTAGCATAAATTTGTGTCGTGCTGTATGAACAAAACAAAATTCGCCACCGACTGCCTGCATTAAGAGTTGAGGACCTAATTATCCTCAGTAGCGGGAAAAGAGTCAGCTTTCCATGCAAATGAGTTTAAAATTGCGCAAAAAGTCAAGAAGGAGCAAAATGCTTAATGAATGCATTGCGCAAATTACATCGTGGAAGCCACAGGATTGCGTGACGTTGCCATCATCCGTCTGGGACCAACTTGAGGGAGAGTGACGTGGTTGGTTGGTGTCTCCTGGCCAAGTTGAAAGTCCAAACCCAGCACGAAGTGTCGTCAAATTGCTTATTTTCTTCTTTCCCCGCTGAAGGTCAATTCGAATGACTTGACCCTGACTTAAAATTGTTGCCGATTCCTAGCTGATTGTTGTGTAAATAATAAATAAAACTAGAGGAAATTCTATACTCGAATATCAGATACCTTTTAGTGTGCTAATCAAATTTTAATCTACTTTAAAAACAAAGTCAAACACGAATTCTTCAGTACTAAACGAGGCATATTCTTCAAATCAACAGGAAGATCCTGATATTCCTGATGATACTTTTCAACGAACACAATAGACTCCTCTAGTACACGTCAATTTACTCAACCATTTCCCGTCTACCATTTTGCAAATCGATTCAGGCTTAGGGGCAGGAATGGCATTACGTATACGCAGAATTGGTCAATTAGACAATTCGAAAGGTTAAGAGGGCAGTCACTAACCCCTTTGAAAATGGGTCATATCTGAACAAATTGGTAGTCGTCGCTAATATATTAACTTCTTAAATTATAATTTTTCGTTAAGAACAAGATTTATGTTTATTAAATTTTCAATTTCACTGCTGTAAAATAATAAGTAATAATCGTAACAGAACCATTAAAGACAGAACTTCAATCTTCAATTCAATAGATCCACCCACTCTTGAACAGAAACATATGTGTGGGTTGCATTCCTATTTATACAAGCTCTTCAGGAAAAGCCCATATATCTTTGGGCCACAGACAAATCGCCCATTAATATGCGCTAGGCAGAAAGCGGAGCTCAGGACATGGGACTCTAAAAACATAGCGCACAGTAGGGCGCTTAAAAACAACAAACATGTTTATTTGGGTCATTATGTAAACAGGGCAGACCAAAGAGCAATTGACCCCAGACCAGGAGATATGATAAATGGTAGGTCTTTAAGCCGTAAATAATGCATATAATATTTTAAGTTTGATAGCCTTGTATTCGGGGCCTATATGGACTTGATAGACGGATTCGGGAAAATATGCGGTTCAGTTAATTCCGTGGAGCAAAAATCAAAATAAATGAAGATGCTCTCTGCTGTTTTCAAATGCAAATTTCGTTATATTTCTTTGAGAGGGAAATTCCCAGGAGTTTAGTTTACGACTTAAATAAACAATATCACCTGCAATTTGGTTTATTGCAATTCATATTTCACCGCAAGGGCCAAAAAATATGCTACGAAATGGGTAAACTTTACTCGCCAAAAAAGGGGTAGAATTCAGCTCGTAACTTTATTGTGTTTTACCGCCGGCAGACGTGAAGGAAACTCATATACATACATACATGTGAAAGAAAGTCGTAAGCAGCCAGGCATAAATTGTCAGATTACCTTACGTCGACTGCATAAGCTTCGTCTTATTATTGTAATGAATGGCGCCATAAAAATTTGTAAAACAAAAAAACATTTTCTAAAAATCAGAAAAAGTCAATGTAACAAAGAGTTGGAAAGAGACAATATACACAATGGTTATTGAAAAATATTTCAAGTTAATGTTTTATATTTTACAGTTAATTTTCATTAATTTTCAACTTTATAGAGACAATGCTAGCTTGCTAAAATAAATTCTAAAAATGTTTTCAACTTGTGCTTAAATTAGTTTTTATGAATATTAACAATTTTACAGCTTTATAACTATACGAATTATACAAGTAGCGACAAATTAACAGATTATTCTCTTTAAAATCATTACGAAATAATTCAATTAATTTACGTGTTCAATGGAAAATCCAAAACTCTAATGAATACCTAGAAGGCCTTACAAAGACACCACAGATCGGAATTAATTTGATGCTGCTGTGGGTATTTCGAAAGACCTGTCGGCAGCAGAAAGTTCCGGGGAAAAGGACCAGCAAGGCAAGAGGCTTTCTCACACCTTCATAGTCGAGTTAACAATGTTTGTCATTTGCGCTTCATTTAGTTTTTGCCATTTGTGGGTGGTGGTAGGCGATTTAGATGATGTCTAAATCAGATGATGATGTTTAATCTGTTAAAAGCCGGGGTATCGAGCTTCTAAATAGTTGTACAGAAGCAGGACATAATCAGCTCGAACAGCCTTGTTTTTAAATATAAATATAAAAGCAAGTAACACTATATTATAACGGATTATCAAAAAGCACAGTGTCTCTTTCCGAGTTTATGAGCTTGGGAATCGACAGGTGAACTGGCAAACATGTCATAAGTAATTTATATGCTGTGTTGAAAAATATGGCTGCAAAAAATTGGCAAAAGCTGAAAAACAAAAAGATTTACTTGGGTTTCTAGAATCCTTGCTTTTTAATTTTATAAATTGTCGAAAATTAGGCCGCCTTAATTTGTCCGTAATAACTCAATTTAGTAGAAAAAAAACAGAGTATTAATGTTTATTCACTTCCTCCAATGACAAAAATCGTTATTATTCAATCATTCACCAAAAATCCGTCGCAACACATTCCGGACACACACTTAATTTTTCCTAAAGGAACATTTATCCTAAAAATACATATATCTATGTATGTGTGTATATTCACAAAGCACGTGTCAACACATTTTTCAAAAGGTATCTTAATGAACCGCTGTCTATCTGATTGTAGCTTGTGGCCTGGTGGTGATGGCAAAAGTAAGCACGGACCTGAGTAAATACAAATCTGCCATTTGTTAATCGAGACACGCACACGCAAATCAAAATCACAAATAAACCAAAAAACAAAGACGCAATCCGAATCAAATGGACTAAGGCACACCTGCGACAAGCTGCCATCATGTTTATTTGTTCCCTTAAGGATTCGGTTTTCTATCTTACTCGTGCATAAAGTCAAATTTCTGATGATTATCTGGAAATCTTCTTAAGGAGTATATGATTTAATTTTAAGAGATTAAAAAAGTCCATTAAATAAAAAAAATTATAAATAATACTAATAAGATTTATTACCTGAAGGTTTTATCTTTCCTTTGTATAAAGCTTTGAAAGATGAATATTATTGTTTTTTTTTATCTTTTATTATTTTATTATTATCTTTATCTTAAGATATTGGATTTTTCACATTATTAAATAACAAAATATAAGTTTTATGCATTGCCCCTTGTACTATATAGTGACACTTTTGGGATTTTACTTATTTTTTGGAATCATTTCCTTGTCTTCCCATGTACATAATTAGAGAATAAAATATAACTTTTAGAAATATTGTTTTTGCTTTTAACGGTTTGTTAATTTCGCGTTGCACTGATTGTAGCGCGAATTGCTATTTGCTTATTGCGAGCCCCGCATTTTGAAAAATGACCTTCGTTTCTCAGAATCGTTTAGTGTTTTGAATTATTTTGGATCTCCGATTAGCTCGACGAATTTTGTTCACTTCTATAAATATAACAAATAATTTGAATAGAAATAATCTCCAAAGTAAATTAAAATAGCAAGCCGAAAAGCTTATTGTTTGCAATGTAAGATTTCGTGAAAATAGGCATTGTAACAGAAGCTGTTTTTAGCTTTTAAAATAAATTTATTGAAGTTAAAATTATATTATTAATGTTGTTCATTTTATGTTGTTTAGTGTTTGCAGAAATAATTATAATATATTGCAAATTGCATTTCAATATTCAATTTAACATTAGTTTATCACTTAGTTTAATTTCAGTGTTCCTATTCGTTTGATTTAGATTTGGAAGATAAAACATGCTTCAGAGATTTTTTCCAATGAAATTTCAAAAGCTGTTAGATTAAGATGTTTGCATATTTCAGTTATAAGTTATTTTTTTAAGTTGAGTTACGAATGTTATAACATAATTCCATAGTATATTAACATTTTTGTAGTAATTGTTTGAACTTGTCATATTTATTTTTAAGGTAACTCATATCCTGCTATAAAAGTTTAATGTTTATAATATTTATGATTATTATTTGTTTGTTAATAATTATTAAAATATTTGTAATTTTCAATGCTAGCAATTTCAGTTAAACTTGTCAAATAAAATCAGCAGTTAAAAATTTAATATTATTACGCTTTTAAAGTCTTCACACTTTCGAAATCTCGGTGCCGCTTCACAATTTATTGACTTCCAATGGCAATACTATAAATATTTCATAAATCACGTTCCGGTCGATCCCGAGCATTCGGCTCACTTATTCGAACTCACTCAATCGCGTGCGGTTATTCCGTACGATTATTCAGAGCGAAAGCGAATGAAACATTATCCGAATATCACTGGGAGCAGTGGATCCGAAAGTCCGTTAGATTCTAGCATTTCGCGTCCGATTCGTTTGAGATGCCGCGACATTCTGATGGTTCGTTCCCCAAAAAGCGACGGCAGTCGGCAGTTGGCAGTCGACAGCTCCTTCTGGCCACGTTAACAGCCCTGTTAGCGCTCTTTATTGTTGTGGCAGGCTTTCCCACATTTGCGTCACGTGCTGCTGGCTGTTGTTGTTGCATTGAACTTGAACTACTGGCAAAGTTGTTGTCGTTGTAGTTGCTATTGCAGTTCTTCTGTTGTTCCTCCGACATTGGCGCGCATTTTGCCGGCTGTTTATGGCCGCTGTTTGCCAGGTTTTCTCACCACGCAGGCGCTCTGAATTGGGATGACCATATTTTTCAAATATTTTCGTATCAAATTTCATTCGAGTCGCAGACGCCGCTGTACTGCAGTTACGGTGGAGTTGGTGCAATGGAAAATCTAAGTAAAGTTATCACATTAGCATGAGTGGGAAACTAATTATAAATTTCAATTTCAAGAAGCCAACGCCATTAGTTATCCAAATTATTCAATCGTTCTGCCGGTTCCACGAAATTTAGCACAAAGTCTAAGTTGAGCAGCTGAGGATCTTAAATTAAAAGTCTTTAAAGTTTTCCAAGCTTGAAATAATTTTTAATTGTATGAACCGTCAATTGGAACTGGAAACATCATATTGTTACACTATTACTATACTATTGTACCCATGATATTAAAAGTGAACGCTCTACAAGCGATTGAACCACACAGCAATTGTACCCATGAGCCCACACGTCGGATGAGTAATATTTCAACAACACCAAGGTCCAACTCCTAAAATTAAAATATCCACAGTTTTAGGCTACAGCTTTGATGTTGGAACTGAAATTATAATTGAAGTGTCAATACTTATCGATCCACCTTCTAAAAAGTCTCCTAGAAATAAGAGTTAAGTGTGAAAGTTAGCAAAATATATGGCTTCTATTTTAATTGAATTACAAAATAATTGGTATCTTATAATATAGATCATGTTTTCCTCAGTGCGCAATGTACAGTTAGCAACGGGAGAAGGATTGCGCTTTGAGCTGGCCATAATATCAAACTTTATTAAGCGGAAGTGGCTTGCAATACAGAAAATGTTCCGGCGACTAAGTACTCGATGCCGGATGAATTTTTAAATATTTTTGCGAAATTTTTCAAACATTTACATTAATACGTTTTGAACTTTGAAATTTCATATACAGGATTTTTTTTTACAATATTTTCTCTCTTTCCCTTTAGATATTTTAAGTTTCTGTTTTCGCCCACCTTTGTGCTATATATAAAACAACTTGAGCATGGTGTGCTTAACTCGTGACTACTACTACGCACGAAAAAATACAAATCTGCAGTGATGGTAAGATCAGTGCAAGTGAAAACAATCAAAAAAGGTGTTTCTTTTTCTGTTTGTATGAGCTTGATCGAAGAAGAAGATTGAAGATTTAAAATTGAAAAAAATGGCGGAAAAAAAGCTGGAAATATCCTGATACACAGAGAATATTCGAATTTGTAGAAATTAAGTATTTTTATTCGTAAATATAATGTATCAAACAAAAACATATCTTGACGAGGTTAATAAATAGTGTCGATCGCAACTTCAACATACAAAAGTTGTGAATCAAATATTTGGAGTTACTGATACTGATGTAATTGCCAATTCTTTCTATTTGTAAAGTTTGATTTTTTTACTTGTATGTTTGGTTGGCCCCGTCGCCCTTTTGGCGAATACGCCGGAAAAGCAGATTGTACGTGTTACCTGTTCAATTCACCAATAGTATACAAATTTTATAATGCGGGAAAACTTGCAACATGTGTGCTGCAGCAAAGTGCGAGACTGTCTGTTTCAAAAGCTTTGCGTGCGTTAAAGTTTTCAAACGGAAAATCAATCGTCGGAGACAAATCCTGATTTGAATTCCCTGCGAAGTCACATGCCTTTCAAGGCAAAGCTGGCAGGTTGAAATGTTTAAAGTTAGGATTCCCTGGAATTAGCTGGCGTTTGCAAGGGTATGAGCCGCAAAACCAACCAAAAGATACGAACAGATTTGCACTCTCACAAAAAGACACAAAAATTTCAATGCAATTCGATTATCAGCCTGTCCTCTGTGACTCGTAAAACTCCTCCTCAACTTTTTTGCATTTCCGCCATTGGCAAACCGAAACCATCGCCAAGTTCAAGTGGAAAAGTAGTCATAAGTCGTGAAAAGCAGCACATGGGTTCGGGTGAGGCGAGTACTTGGAAATTCAAGGCATTGAATTGTGGCCGGCAAGCTGTTCGCAAATAAATTAAGTATGTGTACATTGAGCTTAGAGCTTGCCAAAGAATCGCTCAAAATGGAGAGGGAAGGGGAAAGATTAAAAGTAACCATCGACTTTGAATGCAAGATTTAATTTGAGTCGCAGCATGACGTATGGAATAGCAATTTTAATCAATTGTCTCCAACTGAAGTGAAGAGTCTAACAAACACTTCCCCTTCTCTTATCCATCCACAATTCCATTGAAATTAATTGATTTTGCCCCAGCAGTCCGCAAACATAAATCGCCATTGCGGTTGTCCAAGTCCGCTGGAGAGGCAAACAGATTGAACAGTAGCTCATCAAAGGCAATTAATTTGACAATCTAACTAGTTCAGAATCCACACACTTGTTAAATCACCAACATATTTGAATACAAGCTACGCCCCCTATAAAAAAGTAGAAGGATATAAATCGATGAGTTCACCAAAAAAATTTTAAATATATCTAAGATCAAGTTGGGCTTAATATTCGACTTTAAAGTACACATCAAAACCATTTACATCGCGCATATATATTTCTTATTTATTTTAAGTGATGTTGAGGAACCTAAAATTTGAATTGGCCTAAGAGATATATCTAACAAAAATACCACCTATCGAGGTAAAAAACTATTAACGATCACACCTTCAACATACAAAAGTTCTGATATTATATTTTGTGACGAATATTTATTATACTATCAATTAAATAAATACACTATCTAAATTTTTCTTAAAAAATCTGCGGCTATACTTAAAAAAAAGTTTTAACTAAAATCGCTGTAAGCGGCAGTCCAAGTAGTGACAAAGCCGATTTCAATATATTTCGATATTTCAAAACAAAAAGAATTTTAAAATATTTTAAAGAAATGTCAGAACAGTTAAAACCTTAACTAAATTTTTTTTAGTTTAAAAATTAAATTTTCGATGAGTACTTTTACAATGTGAATCCCCCTTCTATTATAAGTGGCTTTACTGAAAAATTATCAATCATTGTTAAACTCAGAGCAATAGAAAGAAGTTCCTAACAGGAAAGAGAGGACTACTTATCGTCTGCCCACTAATTAAAAGCAGACTCCAAGTGATTGCCCGATAGCAAAGTTGGCGAATGTTTTGGCACACTCTCGGGCGAGGCTTCTAATGAATAATGGCAGCCCAGAGCGACATAAAATAGAAAAAGGCCCAGAAAGCCGGGCAGGACTTGAAGCTCAGAGTGCGTGAGCAAATCAAACATGTCCGTGAAGGACGAATACGTGTCTGGGGGTAGGGTATCAAGGGGAACCAAAATATCCACAGGCGTCGACAATTATACAATCGATTTGATGCCAGTTCCTCACTTCAGTTGGAACTTTTTCACGGCCCGGTCGGCAAAGTTTTCGCCAGAGCAGCAGCAGCCCACTGGGTGGATATTGACCCACCCAACCCCGTGTATTTGGACCACGCTTTTGCTTTGCATACTTTGCGCCGCATTGCCAACGCAATTTGTTCCAATGTCGTGTGTCACGTTTGCTTTCATGCCGCCTCCCTGGCTCCTTGGCTTTTGTTTGGAATTTTGCTGTTTGCGCTTGTGCCATTTTTGCCCCAACTGCAGTTGCCGTGTCTCATTCCACTTTTAGCTTCCACCTTCCCTGCATTTTATACGTTCATTGGCTTTGATGTTGTGTATGGAAAGACTAATGAACCCTTTGGCGAACGGCGATGCCGGCAAGGGCCGCCCATAAAGCTTAGACAAGAACTCAGCCCCACTGAGATAGATAACACCAGCACTCTGGTGTGGGTGTACCATATACGGACTTAATAGTTTCTTTGTTCAAGGTTGCTCATAAAATATTTTTGCATCAGAATGTGGCTATCTTGGGATACTCTCAAAAATAATTAGAATGCTGGGATACGGATGCTTTAATTTAATTATCACTATACAAAAATCAAGGCAGAATTGAGTACACAGAGAAAATTATATAACGTTTTAGGTGCCGTTTTCATATAAAAACGTTTTAAAAATATATATGAAAAGTTTTAAGAATGCAAAGTAAAACAAATTTATATGAAGCGTTTTACTTTTTAAAATGTTTCACCCCTTATTTTGCACCTAAAAGTTTTGATAATTTTCTCTGTGTAGCTTAGTTTCCAGAGTCTTCTTGAATGACTTCTTAAATTTAATCGAAGAACGCATTCCCAGTAGTTATCTTAAGGGGATGACATACAACTGTAGGGTGCTCAATCAATAGCAGAGAAGAGGAGCGACATTCCAACATTCATTTGCCCAAATGTGACCAATTAGTCACACAAATGTGTTGCGTGCGGGGCAGCTGGCAAGGACATGCTAAATTTCAAAAGTTCTCGGAGTGAATTATCAAGGAAAATACTAGCTTTAAGATTACATGATTTGTTAGATTGTCAGCCAGAGCCATAGTGTACGCGTTACTCTCCTAGTAAACGGTTATGTTTTATTTCCTAAGAACCATTTAAATGGTACACTTTAAAGATGCCAATTATAAACTATTTTATGGGTTCCACAATAAATATATATGACACTATAGTGTTGGACACTGAAAAATTTTTCAAAAATCAAAACTCGAAAAACTTGGCAGTACTATTTAATCATTAGTTCAAAATTAGCAATCATTTCGGGAAAACAAAATAAACTATATTGACTGGTCAGACACTAAAGGAAAATGTAACTTTCGTGTCCGTCACTATCAATGGCGTTGGAATACATAGTCCGTGTCACGGAAAATACAATTTTTTCTTGGTGTACAAGTCATATTACATCCCATCAACCAATACTTTTTGACTTACAACTAGAAAGCAACATATCAAACACTTTTCATTTGGCATGTTGGAATATAAAATTCTTTTGTAGGTCACCAGCTCAAATTAGTCAGTTGCTTTTTTTATTTTTCTTCCCAAATATCATATCAGGAATTTTGAATGCTGGACATTTTTCGCACAGCCAACTTCAGAGGGTAGATATGTAAATCTCGAGTTTGGAGTTTAATACTTCGAAAAAGGCCTATTATTATTTTTTTCAAGAAATTGTATTAAATTACATTTAATTACGACCAATATTTACCATTGGCACTCCATTTATAATTCAATTAGGTTAATATTTTACAAACAATACAGAAGAGGCGTGCTCAGTGCCAATAGCCGGCGGAAATTATAATTACTGCGAACGGCAGCCGTCCCTTAGTTACAGGTGGGCGTTGAGAGAACCCCTTTCGTCATCGTTATTGGCATTGGCCCAGGGCACGTTTCGTGTCAATAACTTACAATTAGCCAGGAGAAGCAGAGAAACCTGCGGTTGTCGAGTTAAGGGCAGAGGCGTGGCCTTTCATCCACTTGGGCCATAACTAATAGATAATAATGACATGACCACGTCAAAAGTTGGTGGTGTTGAGGTTCGTTGGCCTTCCTATCCGTATTGTCGGGATGGATGACAAAGTTCACTGAGCTATAGGTTGTTCTGAGCATGCAATTCTCTTATATATATTAATCAAGAAGTCCTGAGAATACGGTTGGATAAACTTAGTATATTAATTTCGAAAATATCTTACTTCTGCACGCCAAGACTATTGGAAATGCTTAATTTGGGCAATGACGCAGTCTAGATTCACAGGTTAGAAAATGGTGCAGGTCCTGTTTACATTAATATATTTTATCAGCTTTATATAAAAGTGTTTTAGGGTTTTATTTAAAATTTTAAATAAAATAGAAACCAATTCAAGTGAATCGAACACTTTTTAAAGCCTAAAATGTTTGGACAACCCGTCGCTTAGAGTCAACTGCCTAAGAGGAATTATAAGTTCAAAACTCGACTTAAATTTCATTATACCTACTTAGCTCAAAGCACACTTAAAAGTTTAACGACATTGGATTGCGAACTCAGCATTCCCAAAGATATATGGACACTCAACAGATCGAATACGCCTTCTCATGTGTCTTTTATCAATACATCGCCATTGCTATGGTGCCGGAAGGCTGGGTAAGGATTTGAGGACAGGGCTTATATTTATAATAGTCGTCGACGCCTTCAAGCGGCCAACATATTGAAATTGTCTCTTTGTGGGACGGTTCAATGCACCGCATCTATGCAAAGTGATTTTAAAATGTTCCCGTCTGGCCAAAAGTTGAATGGTCATTGCCAGAACGACGTGAACTCAAAGGATGTTTTTCCAAGCGGTAAGCTAGTAATTTAATTGCCAAATGCAAATTTCGAGTCTCCTGAGCAGATTTTAACCGGCATTAAATACAAAAAAAGGGAATTTCTCGTATCCAATTAAGCGGTTGTCCAGATGTGGCATACTAGCGATGTGTTTATTGTTCTGCTTATTCAAGCTTTTTTGTCCTTAAATTTTTATATAATTGTCCGTATAATTTTTCCGATTCAGTTTTTGTCTTGAGTATAGAACTTTTTTGTTCTCTATGCAACGACATGAAATGCTAGATAGATACTAGTTAATATAGATGAATACGTATACGCATAAATAAATTACCATGATAAAGAGAGTAAGGTTGTGGATTTTAACAAACATTAAAATGTCACAAATGTCTTTGGTCGGCCAGAAATTTTCGATGACTGTTGTCCCCAGAGAAATTAAATTTTTAATATATATTTTTCATAAGTACGGTTTGAATAAAAAATCTACACGGAAATGGGCGCGTTGTCCTCATTGCCATAAACCACACAAAAGGAAATATATAACCACAATCACAAACTCTGTGTGGGCAGAACCCAACACTGATTGGCCTTGGCAGGACGTTAAGGGTTTTTAGTTTTTGCACTTGGCTGCGCATCAACGAAAACCAGAAAATAAGACGAAAAAGTGTTTAAGAAAGTTGGCACATGAATGGAACTAAACACTTTGGGCAAGACAGAAAAATACTATAAAGGTTATATATGTTTAATTAAAGTTTTTGAAAACCAAATTTTTTTTGCCGTGCAATATTTATATTTAATATTTGTAAAATGGCAAAAGTTCAGAAGAACTATTTAATTCGTGCAATGGTATTTTTCAGCTCAAAATTCCCAAAGTGGAATAAATTTAAATCAAAGTGAATAATTTAATAATAAATGCACTTTTCCCTGCTATCCACAATTACAAATGTAAAAAACGTATTTTTTAATTTAGTAAAATAAATAGGTACATTTTTAAATATTGCCATGAGTGGTAATGAGAACTGTTAGAATAGGATATACATTTAAATTATTTTAGATTTCATTCTCATCAAAATCGATCATAAATTCTATAAAATGTAGTAGGCTTATCATTCGTAGTCGAAAAGAAATATTATGAAACTACATTTTGATATCATTTCCCTTCCAGTAAAAATCAGAGAATAACAAAAATGCCGCCACAAAAGGTAAGAAAAATATCGCAGAAAATCAGTGCTTAAATATTTTGGTTTTTTAAACACAGCCCCCCGAATTCAAGTTTCCCATGCACGATATGCACTTGAAGCAATCGTTTGGCAACATAAAAATGGCTTGCACTCTGGCACTGATAGCCCCACTTCTTCTTTACACTTTCCACAACATTCCTCGCAAAAGGAAGTACAGGAACTTCTACTCCAACTACGATCCCTTAGATGCATTCGACCGCATGATGAGTGGAGGCTATCTCGCATCCTGTCCGCCGGGTAGTGGTCCCAAAAAGGATGACAAAAAGGACAAAAAGAAAAAATAGATCACGACATAAGAGGCCCCAACAATTATCACCAAACACGACCACATACTTAAAAGGAAATCTAACACGAATATGGATTCTAAGAAATTACGCATTGATTACTTAATTTTTAACCAAATGACAAAAACTGGAGAACGCTTACCAAACGAGTGATACAATCGAATATTTACCAGAACTTTGGGCCAAACATTTCAAATTAAGAAGTTTTTCCTGACGAGACGCTTGACCTGAGAGCCGCAAATGGAAAACAAAATCCTCTTTAAATTGAATTGTATCAGGTAACACAAATTTAATTTAATATATGGAGCATTGCAAACAAAATGTGTTCAGGTTGAAATATTTATTAGATTAGTTAATAAGGTCCTTAAAGACTGTGGTATTTAAAGATCTCAAATTCGAAAGCGAAATGCTAGTGAATAAAATACTTCAGATCAAAAGGAACAGAATATTCAGAAAAATGGATGGCACCAGCTTTTTGTCCAAAATCGAACATTTTTTCATGATTTTTTTTAAATTATTTCGAATAATGTATTCAATTTAATTTATTTAAACAATATTTTGTTTAAAAAGCGCTCAGATATCTTGGATACTCCTCTTAACTGATTAATGGGTATCTTATAGGCATTCGACGTCACCGTTCTCGCATGTCAATTTTATTTTGAGTTTAGGCAGTAATTATTCGCTGATCCTGGATATGTTTAAAAATAATAAATAAATTAGGAGCACTTGAGTTCCGGAACGATTAAACAACACTTAAGTAGAGCTACCGGAAGGCCTTTGAAATGTTGCCTAACATGTTACATAAAAGATGTGAAATCATGCGAGATGAAGGGCAAACGCAAGTCAGCTGTCAAGCGCCAAACTTTGTAAACAGTATCGAAAATGAAACTTTTTGGTGGCATCAGAACAACAAGAGCGACCTCATATAATGCAGGAAATGCATAAAATTTCAATAAACTCGCTGCCTGCATGCTAAGAAAAAGAGGTTCGCCGCTACATCCGGCAATATGGCTGAAAATGGAGACGGGGCTTCTTATGGTAAATGTGCAGCGTCGGTAAAATGGAGAACTTTATTGCAGGCCGCGTTGACATCTTTCCCGGCATTGTCACGCTAGCTGGTTGGGCCCCCTCACATCCACAGATGGTTTTCCCCAAGTGCACTCATTGGTACGGGGGCCTATCGTGGAGCTCGGGGCCAAGGGCCATTTGTGCACCGAACCGCGTTGAGCCTGGGAAGCATGTCCCTAATTATCCACTTCAAAACCTAAGCCCAAAATGTTCTCCATCCAACTTGTCTAAGAAAATAGTGAACTTTCAGCATTTGAAGTTAAGCCTCTTAGTCGTTTCCTGGGCAATATTTAAGCAAACACCACCCATGCTGAAAATGTTGCTGTGACCCTTGACTGCTCCTGCACTTTCCAACCGCCTGGACAAAAGTCCCGGCTCTAACTCGCCAAACAACTCGCTTGCTTCCTGGGAGCCTCAAAGAGAGAAAGCTACGTGCTCGGCTTGAAGAACACCTCGGGCAGTAAACCGCAAATACCGCAAAATGCTGCATTTCGACGGCGGTAACAATGGAAATCATGCTGAGGGTAAGATTTTTAAGTCACTAGGAGAATACTCTCCTTAAACCCAAAAGGTTTCTGCTATGTGGTTTATGTTTTCTAAGAATTTGGCATAACATTGGCATTCATAAATATACTTTAAAACGAGTTTCACCAATAACTCTACACCAAAAAATAACTTGATAAGAAACGATGATCAATTTGATATTATGTGATATTAATTTTGACTTGATATGCGGCATACCTCACGTAATTTAAATCGTCAAATTTTCTGTTACTCTCTTTTTTGAAGTCAGAGAATCTCCGAGAAAGAGAATTCGGCAAATCAATATTTCTGAATACACATTTTACGAGTATTACATGGTAAAAACGATATGCGTATAAATACGAGAAATTTAAATTTCAAGATCGTACTTATCCGAAAAATAAGGTGACAAGATAAGAAGACAATTCAAGTCTGTCTTAAAAGTTGGTATACCCTTAGACTTGTAAGGTAATAACAAGTTGAGTACTTAACAAAATTTGTCTGGGCTGCTTTTTCGAGAGTGGCGCGGCTATTTTGCATGTTGCTGCTACCTGCCCACATAAACAGAAATGTTTTGGCCACGTCGTGCTGTCCGGGATTTTTTTCCAGGAAAGGTAACATTTTTATTGCTGTTTCGGGCTATAGAAAAATGGGCATGGTAAGCGATGTTTGCATATTTTTATACCACACTCCTTTCTGTTTTCTGTTTCATCTTACAAGTGTTGAAGAAAGGCGAGGTGATTTTAGGGCATGCTTTTGGTGAGCCTTTTGTTTTTCAATCGATGTTAATCCAAAGCAGAAGAGTCGTTTAAAAATAAAAACAACCGTGTAGTAATTTAAGTCATTTAATAGTATATAGACAATCTTAGTAAAGCTTGACAATTATCGATATTCTCGAAATTTTGACAATATCGACGTTAAGAAGGGGAAAGGCAAATTATGTTAATGACTCGACTGCCTTTTGTTCATGCTTAATATTATTTTGTGACTTGTGCCTAAACTTAAGTTTTTTTAAAAAACCTGTAGCACTAGAATGCTCTTATTATATAAATATTATTACTACAAGTATTCCGTATATCAATCAACATTGAAGCAACAGAATCATAAAGCCCAATAGCGATTTTTAGGGGAAGCAGTAAATGCATAATTGCTACTTAGCAAGACTTTGACTTGCACAGCTCATTAAACCCTTGTTGTGGCAGTGCTGCAAAGTTGGACAAATTGCATGGGAGCAGCAAAGTGATGGCCCAATTGATCGCCTCGAAAGACTGAACGCCAGGCAGCAGGCTTCGATAAATCAAACTGGCAAAAGGATTTCCGCCCTGACTTCGGCTTGATATGCATTTAATGGGCGGTTTGCGTCACGAAGGAATGGAATTGGCCCTGTGGTGGGAGACGAACTGGCCCGTTCGCTTGGAAAATTGCAGTTTGGCAGCTCAGCTCGGAAGTTTGGCAATCCGCTTACACGTCACGAAAGCCAGGCCAAGCGCCAAAAAGCAGACAACATTTTGCATTATTCTTCATATTTATGAGGCAGCCTGAGGCAGAATGTCGCTTTATTAGGGTAACTTGCTGGGCAGCAGCAGTGCCCTTTCCCAAACAAGGCCCACAAATGAACACGCAAAATGCTGATGAGTGAAGCCCCATTTCGAACAATTGAACTTTTTGATTGAGTTCTGGGGATCGAACGATTTGGAATTAAAAGTGGAAAGGGGGGAGTACCGTGATTGTGGCACAATGGGTGTTAAATAAGTCCAGAAACGAACGAGTTGGGGCAGTAAAAAAAAGGTAGTTAAAGGGCTTGTAGAAAATTTTCTTACATTCAGCTATATGTGTTGAAATTTCGGCTTCCTCTGACTCTTTTCTTTGTGTCGGTGGGATTTATTAAATAATTTAAATTTTAATTTCATTGTTTCGTGTGGTTTCCAATAGGTGGACCTTTAATTGCTTAAGTTCAGTTTTTGTCTTTCCCAATACGTTGATTATAAACCTAGTAGTCATTCTATTATAACCCGAGATAAAAATTCAATAATATCAGGGTCAAACCTACAAGTCCGCGTAACCTCCTTTTTAACCCTTAAATTTATTTTTCTTTAATTATGGTTTCGCTGACATAGGCATGTCAGTGGCAACAGCAACCAGCACGCATCTGCCACAAAATTCCATTCTCACTAGCCGTTTTCATTGTTGCCCCACTGCTGCTGTCGAGAATTGGGAAGTGATTGCCGCTCTGACAACTTAATTTAAAAAGCGAACTATCGGCGAATCGCTGCACAATCTGGGCAGCTTTAATTCGGTTAACCCGAAAAATGGAAATTCACATTATTGTTGTTGTTTTTACTGCTGTTGGTAAACCAGTGCTGTTGGACCCGGCGGCCGTTAATACCACTAGCCTACAAAATTCATTTCTATAAAATGATCATAACTTTTTTTTAAAGTTTACTATAGTGTTATTTAGAACGAGCTTAACCTATTTTTCCCAGAATGTCGTATGATAATCGAGGAAAAGCATTTATTTAATTATATAAAAATGTATAATGTATAATTCATAATTGTATAACTAATTTGTATTATACCTGCACGGCTATATAAGTAAATCTACTTAGGGGTGTCGTGTAGGAATCTCATTTTTAATAAACAAAATATGTAATTTTTCAATTTCTCTTAATCTTTGTACACTTAAACACCAATTTAAAAAATGTTATTTTCTTATTTTATGAACCAAAATAGAATTGCTTATATAAATCGATCTAGTTAATAAAATATTTATCATAGAATAGTCTGCGGATATTAAGCAACCGTTCTGATGAATTATTTTGTAAACTAGTGTTTCACCACACGTCGAGATGAAAAAGTCTGGCGATGCATAGTTGACGAGACAGGTAGCGTGCATGTTGGCTATCGAGAAAGGTTAAAACAATTGCAGTCTACTTCAACCACCTCCCACCCACCTGTGAATAGCGTATTGTTCTCTCGACAGTGCCTATGTGATTTTATAGATTGAAAAAGAACTCCACAGTTAAAAAAACGAGCCAGAAGGCAGAAAAAGAAGAAATAAAAAGATTTATCGGAGCTGCGGTAAACAGCAGCTGAAGTTAAATAATTTGTCTTGTACTTTTTTATTCGTACATACACACATATGTATGTCCCTTTCCCTTTATTGCTTCTACAGGAATGGAAAGCCACAGAGGATAGCCCCTAGGGAAAGCGCCACACAAAAAGATACTTTGAAGATGTTTTTATTAACCCTTCTTCCAGCTCTTTTATTCCTTTTCATTTATGCAGAGGAGAAAGTACATATATAAGGTGCTTGCTGCCTACAGAACCTCCTTTAAGTTAAATCAATGAAAATGCTTTATATTTCTGGGTTATTGCTATTTTTATAGAAAATTTCTATGCCAGCCATGAGCTTTGATGTTTGAGCTCTTGCCAATAATAAAAAGATTCGAGAAGCAACAAAAATTAAGCATACGCCATGTGAGACCGCAGTATGTGAGAGATGCAATCCGGCTTAAAGCTGCGTCTCGTAAAAACATAGGAAGAGTGTTTACGCTGAACTGTTTCCATTTGGGTTTACGACTTTAAGAAAGGGGCGACGCGGCGCACGATGGAGTACGATGCTAAGCACTTCCCCACTTTGTAGCAATCTCTCTGGAAACATGGCGTATGCGTAACGCGAGGCACATAACTCAAATCGCCGGGCATATTCATCTCCATATGCAAAGTAGATTTATGTCACATTTCTGTTCTGGCGCTACCATTTTTCGGCCCCACTCCAGCCGTTTGAAATTCCCACAACTTGTCGACGCATTTCGCTTGTTTGTTGATTAAGACTCGAGTTCTTAGCCCCCATGAGCGAGTATTTTTCTGGTACATTTTTCCTCATTTTATGAAACTTAAAGTCAACATTTGTTGCTCATAAATTTGGCATACCAGGCTCACGCTCTTGTGGTATCATTTTTTCCTATTTCTTTTCTTTCTTCCATTTCGTTATTTTTAGTTTTTCTCGGACTGTTATCTAATTCAGGCTTGCATTATTTAATTACTTAAATTCTTTGTCTGACGTTGCGCAAACAGTGCACGTGCCTGAATTTTTGACTAGAACTTTTCGAGAATAATGGAATTATAAATTGAGACCTACCAAATTGAGAATTTTAGACACGTTCTAAAACAAAATATTGGCGAACACCAAAGGAATCACACTCACTGCTTGGGTTGAACTTAAAGTTTTACTTTAAAATTGTACTACTTCTAGTAGTTTTAAAAATATAATCTAAGCCTCAAAGCGTAACCAACTTTTAGAGAACACTTTTATTAAGATTTAAACAACTTAAGCAAAGTCGACAAAAAGCTAGCAATAAGCCAAACATACCACTTTCCAAAAAAAATGTGTCAAAAGTTGCCGAATTATTTTAAGTTCTTTATTGAAATTCGTGAGGAAAATGTCAAGCAATGGCGAAATGCAGGAAATAAGACGTCACAAATAAGCTGCGGCCACAGGCCATATGGCTCTTGGAATCCCGGCAATGCAGGCCAAAAGAAAAGCGACTCTAAGTCTTGCCATTGTTGACACAAAACGAAAGCCAGGTCAGGTCGTTCTTAGGTTTTGGCTCTTGGGATGCGTTTTGGGTGCTGGCCAGCGCCTGCCACTTTGGCTAAGTGTTGGTTATATTGCCCACTTTAAAAGTATTTGTGCAATGTATTTTACCCAATTTTTTAGAAGTTGAAACATGTTTTTTATTATTATTATTTCTTTTATAATACATTAAAGAAATATTTAAGCAACAATAAAAATACATTTTATTAAACAGTAATAAAATAACTATTTTATTCCATTCCATTCCATTATAGGTACAATACTTATGTGTGCTAAACTTTACTCTTTCACTGCTGTGGACAGTCGGATGGCAAACAGTAATCCACAAATTGCTTCCTTAGTTGTTGCAAAATTATTTTTATTCCATACAAGATAACACTTTATCGACAAGAAAGTTTTTTCTTCAAGCCCAATGGGAATTAATCAGTTACATTGAACCACAAAATTCAACTGATATCGACCTGAGTTTGTAAAACTTTTGTCGGAACATAAGTTGAAAATAATTTCTTCGCCGACTTCAAACATTATTTTATAAAAGGGCTGGTGGGGTTTTTCCTAATTTACTAATTTTAAAGCTGAAAAACAGTTCTAACATTTCCATCTTGTTTAATATTTATGCGCCGCAGCATATATTTATTTGTGAGCAAAATGGATGGGCATTATTTAATCAAAAATATTTCCACAATCGCATGAACATTTTGCGCTGCTGTGACGACCATCCAAATGTATACATCGAATTCAAATGTATTTGTATGTATAAAGCGGCATACAAGTGTACTTGGAAAATAGCCCACAAGGACATGAAATAAAAGCTTCCTGCATTTCTTTTTCACATGTGCATCATTTGGTCTATTCTATTCGCCACAAATTGTTGCATTTTTAAAATATTCTGACTCAGCATTTATTTGTGGTTCATAAAAGCGCTTTAATTCCCGGTGGACCTCAACATGCCCATAAAAATGATTGCACTGCAGAGCCCAAAAATATAGGCTATATAAAAAGACCAGCAAAAAAACTGTAGACAGGTCAAGACGAGACCAAACTCTCGCCATATATAATTTTATTTTATGTATTTCTATCATCGCCCAGCTGACCCTTAGGCAAAAACTTTGACAAGGGTGTTTAAGGTGAGTACTAGGGTGTAACAGGAGTTTTTTCAACCAAAATCTATTATGAAACACACTCATTTTTTATTCTCAAGGTGGCCGTGACTATTTTTTAAAAACGCAGACAGTCGAAAATTCCGCAAGTACCAGGCCTTTTATTACCTCATTTTCACACATTTATAGTTTTTATTAAATAAATATTATAAAAATCAAAAAAGTAAAACTTCAATAATCATTGTTTGCATCTGCTTTACATCTTTCTAATGATTTTGAGCACGCCCCATTGCGAATATTTTTGAAAACTAAAATAAAAGTATTGATTATTATGCAAGAAAATATACAAGATTTATAAAATTACCAGGTTTTCCTTTAGTAGCTCTGCGACAATTTAAGCTTTTCATTAAGCAACTATTTCTCCTTTCCATGTGACAAGTGCCATCAAAACCACAAACGGGGCGATAGTTTCTTGAGCAGAACACTTCACAACCCTCAGCATAATAAAACAAAAAACCAAGAGCCACCAGTTTAAAGAAATGCATAGTCACAACTAATTTCAAATTGAAAGCCTTAGCAAATATATATGGGACATTGCATCAGTAAATAATTTTTGTAAATGTTACCTTATTGCGGAACAAATATAATAAGCAAGACACATTTAACAAGAGAGTACGCTATAGTCGAGTACCTTGACAATCATATACCAGTTACTCAGCTAAAAGAGTGCGATGGAGATAGATGTAGGCAAACAGCAAAGCGAGTGATTAAAACCGCGACATCTTGCTGATTTTTTGAAATTTTGTTGGCAATTCGATAGCAAATAACAAATAAAAAAAAACACTTCACCCGGCAAATATTCTTTTGCGCTTTGTGGGCGTTATGTTGGGCATTGCACATTGGCAAACCTGCGCTGCGTAAAAACCTCTAGAATCTGCGTATCTAATCCCAATATTCTGGCTTTTATTATTCATACAGGCAAAAAGATAGACAAAAGGACAGACAGTGATGCTATTACAAACTTTTCGACGAATACAATATACCCTCTCACTCCACGAAAAATTAGGTAAATTGAGCATGACGAAGTTTATATACACGGGTGTCGTTTCGAAGTTTATTTTCCCTGATTTTAGAAATATTTGAGAGATTTCTTAGACTTCTCTGACAACAAACTTTTACAAGCCGAAAGGTATATACCCTTGTAGCTAAAACCATAACATATCATTGAAATCATACTATTTATAATCGTGATTGGATTTTCGAAAGGTATATACCCTTGTAGCTAAAACCATAACATATCATTGAAATCATACTATTTATAATCGTGATTTGATTTCAGTATAAACGTTAAAAATGAGGAATTTTTATCTTTTCAAGCCTATATAATAAGTAAAGTAAGCCAGCACGGTAATTTTCATTAACTTTTCAACGCCCATTTCACTATAGTATCTAAATACTATGCGTTAAGTTTTTGAGGTTTGGGGAGACCCATAACACTTTTAGTAATTAAATTTAACTTTACAGACTTAAACCACAAAAATGCGAAAAATATCACTTTGTATGGAAAAGTCATAAAGGTCAACAAGTTTTTTGTGACACGTTCAACCCTGAGACATTCATACAGTGTCCTGAATGCGAAATGCAGGAATATTTTCCACACAATAAAATTACAGCGTAGTTTTAGTTTATCCCTGCCCCCTCGTGGGCACGTTTCCGCCTTGACGCTGTCAAACAAAAGGCACCCGGGAGGCCGCCAAGTTGAGCAAAAAGTCGAGCCTCCGCTGAAATAAACTGACTCTCGGAAAAACACACAAACTTGCACAACGTCACATAGCTCATAGTGTGAAAATTTGCGCCTTCCGCTCGACATTTTTGCGGCTGAGCCCCTATTTCATTAATTTAATTTGTCACATGAGGCACAGCTCCAGACGAAACTGGGAAAATAAATCTCGCAAATTCAACATTGAAATATATTTTAAGTTTCAATTTTAAAAAATATATATTCGTGGATAAAATTTAGTTAAATTTAGAAAAATAAATACATATTTGTAAGGTGGGCTTCAAAATCAGAAGACAATTTTTTCTTAAGTGTCCTAACCTTATTCTTGCAAGGCTAAATTCCATGTTTATCATATTTAGAATCGTTAATGTGTAAAAAATAAAAAGACTTTGTTGACTCAGTATTTGTCAGTTCGTCAGTTCAGTTGTCAGATTAAACTAATAACGTTTAAAATATATTTTTTTCATTTCTAATTTTTAGTTTTACGGTCTTAATCTTGTTAATTGGTTTTTTTTGTCATTCACCACGGCTCTTATTAGTTCCGGCAATAATGCACTGATGACGGATTTGGGTTCTTCCAATAATCGAACTAATCAGAATCAATTCGTGAGGTGATCAATGCAAGTTTCTAGGGTAGACTTTCCTGAATCCGTTATGTTTTATGATTTGTTTTTGGCCATATCCAATAAAATCAACAAGCATTAGCGGAACCGCGCAGTAAAAACTTGCAGCTGACCCGACTAAATTTGCGTCTGTTGCCTTTTTTTCCATTTATACTTTCACTTCCGTTCCTTTCTTTAATTGTTTTTTCTGTTTTGTAAGCGCAAAATTAACAATTATGTAGAAACAATGGTGGGAATAAAATTAAATTTCATGCTTGGCCAATCGCAAGAGTTTAAAAGTTTGCATCGTTTTCATGACATCTCCACTGAGCGTGTGGATCGCCACAGTACGCAATTAGTTGGGCACTTAATCCGAGACGCAAACAGCACCAAAAACCACCAGCATCAGGAGCCACCAAAGCAGAATGACACCCCGATTAGCGCCGGCTATGGAGGGGCTTATCCCATTCCCATTTGCCGCCGTTTGTGCATCGCTTGGCTTAAATGCCCGGAAATAATTTGAGAGCCCTTATTTGCTTTAAACTGCAACCAAGTAATCGAATTTAATTTTGGGCCCTGATTAATGGTTATTCCTAAGAGTGTTTTTTGGATATAAAGTCCGTAACCTAATCGCATTAATCAGTTGACACAAACAAAAGAAAATTCAAGGACGTCTGAGCCTGGTGGGTAAACAATGGTTTACATTTGATGCTCTTAATGAATAGGTAACTTCGGTACACTCAAAATAAATTATAAGGTATATCTGGGCTTTAGATATTTTAAATTTGGATCAAAAAAATACATAAGTAAGACATGGGATATCACTGTTATGCCTACATAAATTAAAACAAATTAAAATGAATCATTGTGACAAGTGCGGTAAATATAATAATCAACTTGCGAGGTTCGTATTTTTTGATATTACTCAGTAAATCTGCACTTAAAATATTTCAAATTATATAAGTTTTAAATATCATCTGAAATATAAACCAAATTATGAAAAAGTGCTTTTTATTTAATCATGTTTAGTGGCAAGATTTCATATCCCACCTTTTGTATTTTGGTTGTCACCACTTTTTTCCTCGTTAGTTGTTTCTTTTTGATTTTGTACACATTTAACAGCTTTAATAAAAGTTCAATATAAAAATACAAAAAACATATACTTCAAATACTTAAATTTGACTAGATTGACACAAGTTGCTTCTACTATTCAGAGTCTTCGTAGACATCTAGGTTAAGACAGTTGATCCAGAAGGCATCAATGGTGTGATACAAATGAGGCAGTGCATTCCCGATTCCGTGGTTTTCATCGGTGTAAGTCTACAAAATATGAGAGTAAGTTGTACACTTTGAGGATAAGTTAAGGTATAAATAAGCTAACCTGCTCATCGAATGCAATATCCCGTCTTTGTAGCAATTTGGCCAGCAAAAGAGAATGCTGGTAGTGGACATTATCATCGCCGGATCCGTGAATCAAAAGGAAGTTATGAGTTTTAAAATTGTCCAAATTCAGGAACACGCTGCTCTCGTTGTATTTTTGTGCATTGTCCTCCTCAGTTGGAAGTCCCATATAGCGCTCGGTGTAAATCGTATCTAGATTGAAATAGAAAATTATTTATAAGATGATATTATAATGTGAAGTATTGACAAACCATAGTACAGCCATGAAGTGACTGGAGCCACTGAAACGCCGCACTGAAAGACCCGTTCGTCGTCCTTCTCGATGGTCTTAGCCGTCATATAACCACCATAACTCCAGCCCCAGATGCCACAACGCTCGGCATCAACAAAGGGCAGATTTAACTGCATCCAACGAGTGACAAACAGTTGGTCCTCGACCTCGTGATCGCCCAGATCATTGTTGACCGAGAAAAGCAGGTCCTTGCCCTTGTTTCCCGTTCCCCTGCCGTCGATATACGCATAAATAGTCTCCCTGGATGTCGTGACGAAGGCCTCGTAGCCCAAGGTAAAACTGTTTGTTACTCGCACCGAATTGGGACCCTGGTATACAACCACGATCAGCGGATACTTCTTGGCCTCATCGAAGTTCGGCGGAAGGGCGAGCTTGGCGTATCCAACACTGCCATCAGCCAGGGTGACGTTCAAGAAACGATAACTGGGGCGCAGCTTGTTTTCCAATTGCTCGCGATACGCTGTGTTTGGCTCCCACTCGACCTGGAGCGTTTTAGTAGTAGCCTCGAAGATCCTCGTGTAGGACGGATTGGGTCCGTTGCACGAGAGTGTGTAGTAGGAGAACGACTTGCTGAAGGTAGCCGAAGCTGATTTACAGGCCACGCCGTCCACATCAATTTGATTGCAGCTAAGGCACTCGTCGTTGCTGAACACATGGTACACAGAGGGATCTCCGGGCTGGGTGGCCTGGTAGTAACTAAAATATGAAATATTTTACTATCGTTATACACAGAAAAAAGCATGTTACCGTAAAATCGATATGGCCATGTAAATTTAATGCAAAACCCATTTCGTTTTTACATGAAATACTCTTTTCGATCAGGTCAAATTTAACTGGGCACATATCAAATTAAAATTGATCTTAAATAATGTAAAATCGATCTACGTTTTCTATCGATTTTTTTTGGGGTATAGGTAAGTATATAGGAAGTTACCGTAAAATCATGCAAAACCCATATCGTTTTTACATGAAATACTGTTTTCGACCAGGTCAAATTTACCTGGCCATATATCAAATTAAAATGGCAAAACCCTTATCGTTTTTACGTAAGTACTCTTTTCGACCAGGTCAAATTTACATTTATGTATATGATGCATCAAATTAAAACTGATCTTAAATAATGTAAAATCGATCTACGTTTTATATCTTTTTTTTTGGAAGTATAAGGGAAGTCTACTCACAGCTTGTCCCTCGCTTCATCGTATCCATAGACGTTCAAAACTGTAAAGTTACCGCGCGACTGCCAGCTGTTGAGCCCTGTCTCAAGGTCAAGGTTCCACACTTGGTGCCAGTTGTCTATAAAGTAGCCGAAGATGCAACTCTTTCCGGTGCTCAGGCACTTGGGCGTGCTTATGTCCACCCAACCGCGGGGCTCCTCCAGCCTCTTCACCTCCACACAGACACCCTGGTGGCTGCAGCTCTGAATTGAGCTGAGGTTCTGTCGTCGATTCATCCAGGTCACGAGCAGGTGCGTCTCGTTCGACCAGACAACGTTCTGCAGGATGTGATCGCTGCCAACGATATCGACTGGCGCAACAATGCGCTGCATGGTGGGATCGTTGTCGGTCACGTCATAAACCCTTAGGCTCACCAGTGGGTTCTTGGAGCCCGACTTGGGGTACTTGAGGTGCTCCTCGTGCGGATACTGATAGAAGGTGGTCGAACCATCGCCGTACAGATAGTAGTTAAAGGTCTCCACATCGGTGTCGTCGAAGAAACCCACCGCCAGCTTGGTGCCGTCCGCCGACCACCAGAGGGCGCTGCCACTACTCAAAACCTCCTCTTCGTAAACCCAATCGGGCACTCCATTGTACACCACCCCGTCCACGCCGTCGTCCGTGATGCTGATCTCCAAGTTCTCGCTGAAGTGGATAAACACATTGTTGAGGTAGACGTAGGCCAATCGATCTCGCAGCGGCGACCATCCACAGTACTGCAGCTTCTCGCCCTTGTGGATTTGGACGGTCGTGTTGGTCTCAATATCGAACACATCGTACTGCGCTATGTACGAGTGACGAAACTTCTCCGTGAGGTTGTGACGTATCAGGATCTTCGTGTTATCGGGCGAGAGTGAGAAGGTGGCCCCCGAATAATTGTTCTAAAAGTTGAAACCATCGTTATGTCGGTCCTTATATAAGTATGCCTAATACCTTACCAGAAATGAGGAGTTTTGAAAGATCACGTCGGTCTTAGTGGCAGCGTTAAATTTATGGATAGATCGGTCTGCAGCTGTGTAGTAGAACTCCTCATCTGCAAGATATAGAATAAAAGATACAGATTCCATATTTATACCCTTGTAGAGGGTATTATAATATCAGTCAGATGGTTGCAACGCAGTGATGGAGACGTTTCCGACCACATAAAGTATATATATTCTTGATCAGCACCACAAGCCATGTCCGTCTGTCCATCTGTCCGTTTCTATGCGAACTAGTCTCTCAGTTTTAAAGCTATCGCGATGAAACTTTCCCGAAAGTCTTCTTTCTATTGCAGGTAGCGAGCAGGATCGGACCACTATATCTTTAGGCTTCCATAGGAATATTCAAACAAATATAAGAAAATTCATTGTAACTTTGTAGGAAGTAGGCGTTTTGATTCTTGACTACTTAAAAACAAAATTTAAATAGAAACTCTGGATCTGGAATCCCTGGAACTGCACCGAGTGAGGATTACTTTATCTACAAGGGTATATAAGCTTCGGTTGGCCGAAGGTAGCTTCCTCTCTTGTTTTTAATTTGAATCGTATGATCCATGGAAAAACCAAGTTACCTAATAAAGTCTTAAATCTTCCACCTGTTACACACTTTCCTACGAATACAATATACCCTCTAACTCTTCGTGTAATAGGTATACAAAGAATGTCAATTTCAGCTGTTCGAATTTGGTCTATTGCCAGAAAAGGAAAAGCTGTTATTTAGCAAGTGGAAAGTTAATTGAGAGAAATCTGGCACTGTAAAATTGTGAAATTTAAGATAAAGCCATTTCGGGCTTCTAAAAGTTTGTATGAGGAATATTAACATAAATATTAGTCGATGATCGAATATTGTATAGTCTGAGCCGATTTACTAATTTTGAACTCAATGTTTGTAGTCTTTCTGAGATCTAATATTTCTCAGTGAAGAACGATTTTTTTAACGGTCCCGATAAAAATTCAAGGTGCAACGATGTACAACAAAATTCAGAGCTTTTAGTGAATTTTAAATCCTTTACAACTCTTCTAACTAATTATATAACTAACGAATTCTAAATCATTAGAAATCTAAAGCTTTCAACCATTATCTGAACCCTGTCATTATAGTTAAGCAAAAGTCGTAGATAAGAGACGAAATATAATCGTGCTATCGAGGTACAAAATGATGATCGTAATTCACTGCAGATTAGATTTCATGTATTGAACCTAATGAAATTTGTGCGAATAGTGTAAGTGCTGATTTGTTTCTTTTCTTTGTTTTTGAACTTTTGAAAAATTTGCCATGCAATGGAGTTACTACTTAGTGTTGAACTTTATTTTTCCTCTGTGTAGAGATATAAAATGAAAAAGAATGGCCCAGCCCCAGACAGAATGGGAAAATTATCCGTAAACAAGCTTATTGATAATGGTCGCAGCTCTCGCTGATTATGGAAATGTGCACGGCGGGTGGGATTCCCTGGATGGTAATACCCAGGTTGATAAGTCCCCGCGGAAGTTACTACAGATGATAACACCCAGAAAAACAAGGTTTTGGAATGAAGAATAACAAATGCTACTGGGTCGTCGAACCGATCCGATGAGCAACCAACCTGTTATCCAGGTTCCATTGAAACTCCGTAGCCCTGAAGTGCCATATAGGGCTTCCGTTAGTTCCCACGCTGTTTTATTCCCCTCCCCACCGTCCTCAGCCCGTCCGATTACCGCCGCTGATGACGAATGAAGGGAAAACACGACGAGGAAGAGAGAGAGGGCGGTGATCAGCAGCGATTTGGCGTGCATGTTGAAAGCCGCCAAAAACCCCAATTGATGAAATTTACACTTGTCACTCCGCAAAACCCACAGCACGTAACTCGCGGCGGCGCGGCTAAAAAGCAACTGAGTTGGAATCCGAAATCAGTAATCAATTACAATCACACAGCAATTAGCGTAGACGTCGACGTCGAGAGCCGCAGAAAGGGAGATAACAAGTGGGAGAGAACTTCATATCAAGTTCCACCGCTCTTAAAATATACACATGCCTACAAAGATCATACGTTTTTGCTACATGTATTTATGATCGGTTCTTTCGCGTACAACAAAGTAAATGCTTTTTAAATTTATCTCGATGGATGCTATATTTTTGAATTCGTTACGAATTCCCAAGTTGAACTGCGTATCCCCGACGCAAGGATTCTTAGCCGAAGGACCTTAAAGTTCGAAAAGTGCTGATATTAGTCATCTTTCCGGAGCTCACAGAGGCAAACGGATTCATGGTTTGTTTAAATGTTAAAGTTTTCTAGAAGATACACTTTTTATCTTTTAAACCCCATTCTTAGAATAATTTTAGGATTTTTCTTAAGGCAGAAACAAATTCTAGAAATCATAGTCAAAAAACCTAAAAACATACAGCTGCGGTCAAAATAGTAGTACTGTTGCAGCCCTGTGTTTTTAAAAGTTTGTTGTTGTCTAACATCAAAACAAACCATGAATGGCTTAATATTTTTTCAAAATGTTGGTTCCATTTTTCGAGCTATTACATATATTTTTCAAATCCGACTCCATTCGACTTAGGGAAAATTTTTATCTTTAATATTTGAATGATTAACCTAAATTTATGTCTAAATATTTTTTCAAAATGTTTTTTTCTTTTTTCTAGTATTCCTATGGGAGCTATTAGATATAGTTTTCCGATCCGACTCTATTCAACTTATCTTTTTATCCCGATAGCTCTAAAACTGAGAGACTAGTTTACGTAGAATCTCAAAAACTTGTTTTTTCTAAAATGCTCTCATTTGACAACAGTATAAATAATACCAAATTTATTTTCGAGAGGTTACCGAAGTCTTTGTGTACCTTAAGATCGGTACCATACTCCTTCAAATCGGACTATCTTATCAGATTTTAAATGTCATTCATAAATAGAAAAGTACAAAATCTAGTTAAAATATAAAAATTTCGTGATGTTTTCTTAATATTCGAAGTCGTTTGAAGTTAGTAGTTTTGTATATCAGAGTTTTATGCACTTACCCGATTGCCAGGTGCCATTAAAGCGTATTATCCTCCTTCCCATCCCGTACAACGACTCCTTTACTTTCCAGGGGCTCTTAACTCGCGTCTTGATTTTGGATTCGGCTGGAGAATTGGAACCAATTGATAATTGGAGTAGCAGCAGCAATGCGCTTAAGTGCTTAATTCCACCGTACATAACTGAACGAGTCAAGAATGAACAAGTGAATGAACTGACTTTAGTGACCGTACATGGTTATATAAATTTTGAATAGAAGAAAAACCATAGCGAAAGACCCTATTTAACTATAAAAACCGAAACAAGTGGAAACGGAACTCATTAATAAAAATTAACTACTCTACAAAATTAAATCGACAACTTACTCCAGTTTTTCTGTGCAGTTGTGTAGTAAAAGTGAAATTACGATTTAAGGTGTAACTACGTATGTATTATATATACTATATATACCAAAGTTGTGAACTGGCTTTTTTAAATAAAAAGGTTTGTGATATGTATATGAAGCTGTATTGAAATGTGTTCTTGAAAAGTTATTTTTATGATTAACAAGTGATCATTACTCGCAGGGGTTAATTCGTAACTTAGAAAAGTGGCTTCATTTTAAGTCTTAAGCCTAGTACATTGACATTATACGCACATTCTGATGCTATATCTTACTTCTCTCTTAAACCTTTTTTCAAAATTTTTCCAGGCAAAATGTAAATTGTTCTTCCGCAATCAAAATGTATTTCTTGATTTTATATTTATTTATTTATTAAGTTTAATCTTAATCTTACAAACATTTTTGCATGTTTTTTGTTAAGTTTTTGTGGTACTGATCGAGTAACTGAAACAAATGTTCATGAACTGCGGTCCAAAATTGAGGTTTAGAAAGTCCGAAAAGTGGTTCACTGCGGCCGCTGAGCCGCAGGAAGCTGATGTTGCTGGTGGTTGGGCTGCTCCGACTGCTGGAGCTGCACCATGTGGCTCAGAATCTGCGCCTGCTGCTCGAGACACTTGGGAAAGAAGTTCTGCATGAGGTCGACCTTGCGCTCCTCCAGTTCCAGGCGCTGGCGGTAAATCTTGGTCTGCTCGTAGAGTAGCTGGTTCTTCCGCCGAACCTCCTCCATGTAGAGCGCCTCCAGCGAGTCAGCATGCGGCGGATTCACGGATCCGTATGGACGACCACGCTTTCGTGGCACTGGAACGGGGGAAGCGCCGACGGCAGGTGGATTGGAGGCCGGCGCAGCAGTGGCTTGAACCGCCACCGGCGCCGGCATGCCTCCGTTCGCGTTGGTGGCCACACTGATGGTGTTGTTGCTGCTATTTATGTAGGCTACCGCCGTGATGGGCTGGTGATTAACAGTCGAGGTGGCGTTGGTGCCGCTGTTATTGAAATGAGCCGCCGGCTGCTGTTGAAACTGCGGCTCATAGGTTTGCTGAAACTGCTGCTGCTGTTGCTGCTGCTGTTGTTGTTGCTGCTGCTGCAGTTGTTGCGGCGTCTGCAGCTCGAGCAACTGAGCCGGCTCGGCTGGCGAATACTGTTGCAGCTGCTCGGGAAAGGGCAGCGAGCGGTACTCCTCGTCCTCGTACTCCTGCTTGACCACCTCGTCGTACTGATCCGTGAACAGCTCCGTGCTAAAGCTCATTCCGCCGGTGTTGTTGTTGTTGTGGCTGCTGCCATGATTGCTGTTGCTGCTGCTATTGTAAAAGGTGGCAGCCGAAGGCTCAGAGGCTAGAACAATACCCTGTTGCTGAGCAGGCGCCTGCTGTTGCTGCAGCGGCTGCTGCTGTTGCTCGGAGGACGCCTCATCCCTTGGCGGCGTCATGTCCCTGTTATTGAGCAGTGCCTCTGGCGGCAGCGGATCCGCGTTCTTGGGCCTGTGCAGGTTCTTCAGGATGCGATTGATGATGTCGTACTTCTTCCAGCGCGTGGCATGACTAGAGGGGTCCGCCTGCAGCTGTTTCTTCACCGACCTGTGGGTAAAAGTAGTTTATTTTGTAGGTTGTAGGTAGTGCTTTTTGGGGGGCTACTCACCTGAACTTGGCCCTGGTCTGGTTGACCTTCATCTGGATCTCCTCGGGCTTCACGTCCACGGAGAACCGGTCGCGCAGCTCCTCGGCCCAGCGGCCAAAGAAGATGGTGTTCTTGCCGGTGCGCGTCAGCCGCCAGTTGTCCCTGCCCCAGATCTCGTACAGGCGCTCCTCCTCGCTGGGCGTCCAGTAGCGACGCGACTTCTCCTTGGCCCGGCCCTCGAGCATCTCCTGACCGCCACACATGGCCAGATCCTGCTCGGATCCGGCTGTACTGCCTCCGCCTGCGTTCAGCGCCACCTTCTCGTAGTCCATCGACCGATCTGCTCCAGCTGCTGCTGCTGCTGCTGCTGCTCCTGCTCCTGCTCCTCTGTCTCGGCGCTCCCGGCTGCGGCAGCGTATAGGTTACACAATGCAACGCGATGGGGCAATTGTGGAAAACACGGGGGAAGCCAAGAGTTTTCTGCACAAAAAATCAACAACAGCGCTGATACACAGAAGAGTGTGACCGTGCGTCGCCAAAACGCCGAAGCGAGAATGCCGAAAGTAAGCGTTGCATTAGTGGTATTCCTGATTCAGCATAACAGGCCAATTCCATTGGCACATCTGTTTTTACGAATACAAATAAATAACTTAATTTTATGATCACACTCTCGCTGTATCCGCTAAAACTAACAAAAAATATCAGCAATCTGTTCACCATTTAATTATTAAAACAAAAGTAATTTAATAAATTAGGTTTACAATAAAAATTTGTTAAATCCATAAAAATATGGTATGTGTGTCAAATTAGCGTCTGAGACTTTTTTATTTTCTGGGCATTGTTTAGGCTTAGTACTCAACCCAACAAAAAGTCGTCCAAAACAAAAAACTTCATATGAAAAACAACGTCAAAAAATTTTGTTTCATATGAAGTTTTTGGTTTGGACGACTTTTTGTTGGGTTGAGTACTAGCCCTTAGAATGAAAATAGGCATCGAAATATGTAATTCTCGATCCTGTACGAGATCTTACGTTCAGTAAAAATAGCTCCCTACATATTGGGGAACATCTGAGCTCGTCCTTTGTAAATCGGTTGTAGTGTCGGAAACTGCGGTTCATGTCATGGCTGCGCGTGGTTCTTGTACTGGGGGTTGGCGGTATTCCTATATTAATTGAAAATTCGTTGGGTGATTTTCTCGGAAACTGTCGATAATTTTGTAATGCAATTTTCCAGGATTATTGCTTGGTTAATCCCCCGTCGGCCTATAAACATATTCTCAAAAACTGACGATAATTTGTATACGCATTTGTGTGTTTTCACAAACATTTTTTATAATGATCAACGATTTTTTTTGGCTTTTGTGGATTGTGATTTTGCTTTTCTAAACGCAAAACAATTCAGTTTATGTTAAAAAGATGTTTTTAGATCAAGATTTAATTAACTAGAGTTACATTAAGAATAATAATTATTATTATTTAATTAATATACAAAATTCAAATTTGCCGCCAGCACAGAATCATTTTAATTGCCCAACACTATTTATGTTATATGTTTTGGCGACTAATCGATAGGATGTCGATATATAAATTAAGGAAATCAATACAAATAAATAGGAACTATATTTAATTAATAAACAATTCAATTTGCAAAGCTAAAAAATGCGGTTGCAGTCACCGCTTAGCCCCTATCCATGTTCCGATCCATTGGAGCTGTTGTAGATGGCGTGTCACTAAATCGCCGCTCTCCCTCTCTCCTCACTGAGTTAATGACGGAGAGCCAATGTTACGTACACTTACGTTTGCTTACGTTTTGCCCTTACGTTTGGTGATGGGACAAAAACATCGATTGTGGCAAAAAAAACATCGATGTCTCTAGAAAATTTTAAAACATCGATGCATCGATGTTTTCGTCGATGTTTCTCCACCTCTAATCTGGTAACACTCGTTTCAACGTAAGGTCATTTTTTACTTTATTTTTAAGCAGATTTTCCCGAAAAGCGCAATTCGCGGTAGGCGCAAATCGAACGCTTCGCGGACCTAGTGCAGAAGTGCGAAATCGCAGAACCCGCGGCGCCCTTGAAATCGATGGGAAAAAGCGAAAAAAGGCTGAGGGGCTAGCGCAAAATCGAAGAAAAAACTGTGTATGTGCGTGCGTGTGACTGTGTGAGTGTGACGTGTGCGTTCGCTGTGTGTGTGAGCGAGCTGGCATGCAGAAATGTATGTGTATGTGTGTGCTGCGGCTGTGTGTGCGTGTAAATTGAATAAGAAAACGGAGCACAAAAGGCACTGATGGAAAATTTATATGTGCGCTGAAAAATTAATTTATTTGCAAAAAGCCAAGAGCTGCGAAAAGTAAAGTGACAAGCGGAGAGACGGCTGAAAAAGAACAAATTATTGTGGATTGCCGACTCTCTGCAGATTTCAAGAGAGTGTGAGAATCGGAAAGAGAGGCGAGGGAGTTTGTGTATGTGTGGGTGTGAGCCGCCTTTGCCAGGAAAACTAAAATGAAAAAAGTCCCTGGCGTTAAAAGTTGCAAAAAAAATTGTTGGTTTCGATTGTTTGCCTTCCGCAGTTCGGCGTTTCGTTTTTTTCGCACAAACTTTTTTCGCCAATCTTTTATGCACGCTTTTTCGTTTATTTAATACCTCTCTCCCGCTCTCGCTCTCTTGCTCTTTCTCTCCGGCTCTCCCGCTCGGCTCTCGCGCTCTCCGCTTTTTTGCTTATGCCAGGCCAACTGTCAAAACTGTCATTTACCTTCCTTTTGTCCGATTAGCAAAACGCAACGAAAAACTAAAATCCCATCCAAATTTAAACCGTGGCCGTTCGCTTGTTTTCGTTTATTGTTTTATACCAAAGACAAGAAAACGTAGTACTCTTAATTCGTTCGTCCTACTCGTAAGTGTTGAATAAAGAAAAAGTCGGAGGAAAGACAGGCGAAATGGGAAAAGTCGCCGCCGCCGCACAGTGCAACAAATCGATCAGAAAATAACCAAAAAATGAAGCAAAAAGAAGCGTGTTTTAAATAAGGGAAAAATCGGAGAAACTCAATGGAACAAAAGTTCTAAAATGTCGCGTAATTGTTTGTGTGTGTGCGTGTGTATGTGTGCCCATCCTTTTCGCTCTTCCTCTTCTCACTTTCGCTTTGTTGTTGTTGCAGTTGACACTTTGTACCTTAGATTTTCTTATTTCCTCTTTCCATTCTTATTTCTCCAAAACAGCTGGCCAAGCATTTGATTAACTCCAATTTTCTTAGCTTTTTTTTGCCATCTGCTTTTGTTTATAATGTCAGCTGGTCCGGCATTGTTGTTTATTTTCTGTTCTGTTTCGCCTTGATTGTTTAGTCAAGTGTTAGTTTTTGTGCCATTTTGCAATTTTCTGCTTATTTGCCACCCGATATTGTTATGTGATTTTTTCAATAGAAATTCGAGTAAAAATGGTGAGTGTTGTTTGGCTTACCGGTAACTCGCGTTTCACACAAGTGTTTAGGATTATGGAGATGTATTAAATAACGGTACTTGGTACATTTGCGAGGGAAGGTTCAAAAAGCCAGATACATCTATAACTAGAATACGTAACGCTACAATTGTTTTGAAAAGTTTTCAAAGCTTTTAAGTTTTTCAAGGCTTGCGAACAATTTTTCGGGGATTAAGAATATTTTAATAGTCAATATTATAAATAACTAGTTTAGAATGAGAACAGTTACAATAAAATTCTGTTTTTATAAAATAATTAATTGTATTTAGTTGAAAACCTTATTCGTATTGGAACCCTTTTCGAACCAACTCCACCAATCTGATTAGCTTTTGCTTGCCCTTGAACCGATCTTCATCATCTTCAAGATCATAACGATCATCCTTTTCAAAGCATCTCCGATTTCAAAGCAAACTAAACCTCAGGCCAGATCGTTTTTCTTGTCCGGCCGCGTGTCAACATTTTTTGCTTACCCTGCACCATTTTGTAATAGTCACTGGATTATAAGTTTGCTTCTAGAAATTGGATACATTTCAGACGCCTTCCGACTTTTTGTCACGAAAGTTGGCAAAGTCTTAAATGTTTCTTCTGAGTGGAAAGTTTTTATGAAATCAATTTCAGTTTGTAATAATTAACTGGGTTTTCTGGGGTAAACCCCTAGCAGGGATGTACAAAAAAGTGCGTGTGCAGGCAGTCACGTCCATGGTGGAACTATACAAGGTGGTCTCGTCAGCTCTGCTGAGGACGTTAAATATGTTTACCTCTCTGTCTATCTTAGGCGATAGAATGAGATAGCTAGATAGAGACTGACACAAATAACGTCCTCAAAAGAGGGCAACTCTCGCGACGAGATCACCTTGTATAGTTCCACCATGGTCACGTCTACCAAACACGGGTTCAATCTCTCATCCTATATCAGTACTCTATGTTGTAATGCCTCAATTGGCCGACTTTTTATTTATTTACCAGCATTAGAGACTTGTAATAAAATGGAAAATATATTCATTTATTTAATATTGGTTGATATTGCTTATTTTTGATCAATTTTTTCAATTAAAACCAATTTTAAAGACGAAAAGGACTAAGTTAGGGCGGCTATAAATAATATAGAGTATATTATATGAACGTTCGATACTTTTACGATCTATTTTTCCTAATTTTCTTTGAATATCAATATTTGCATTATATTTTGTTTCTTATCGCACACATTTTGCGACTCAATTCAATTGAGAAATTTTATTCGATTTTAAATTGTCATTGTAATCTGTGACTTGTTGTTGCTCTTGCACCCACGTCTTCCTCCTCATCTTCGTCATCTTCCCTTTCGCTGCTCTTTTCTCGTTTGATAAACATTTTCATTGCCTTGGCCTCTCTCTCGCTCCGCTCCCTATTTCCTACAACGCCTTCGTTTTTCTTTTACTTTTCCCTTGCCATTTTTTGCATTGTGAATCATTTCCTTGCGGCAAGGAAAAGAGGTGGGCAGCTCTGTGGGTAGGGGCGAAAAGGAAAGCAAAGTCCCTGTTCGAAAATCGTTTATTTAATTTTAATTTCAAATTTTTTTTTTTAAAGGCTAGCGTTATGTAGTATTTATTTATAAAGAAGGCATTTTCTGGGATTAAATGTTTTATGAAATGTTTTACAAAATAAGAAAGTTGAAAATTGTTTTGAATTGTATAAAAATTATGAACTATTTTTGTAGTGATCAAAACTGTGATCGTTGCATTTTAATTGAAATATCTATTTTCATCGAACTTTATGTATTGAAAGATTTAAAACCATTCATATTCGTTCCTAATATTAAATGTTAAGAGGAACATAGTGCAAATGTTCTATAGCTCAAACCATTTCTAAAAAAAAATATATGAAATCAAAAAAAATTGTTTGGATTAAAACACTTAAACTATTGTTCAATTTTAAAGTATTTGACAGCATTATAATTATTTTGTGGTATCCTTCCTTTTTTTGAACGAGTTTTTGTATATTGATAAATTTTTTAGAGTCCAAATGTATGGTCTGATTTTCCATTGCTGCACTGCGAAATATCGGGACACCTTTCCTTTTGGCTTTTCATCTTTTTTCGGCTGCTGCTGCGCTGCTATCATCATCAATATTGATTACCGGCAGCTGCCCGAGAGAGAGAAAGAGAGCGAGGGAGAGCGGGCAGCCGCTCTCCTTTTGCGGTTTGTTTGGTATGCGGCCCCCGCCCGCCCCGCCCACTTGTAGGCGCCCACGTTGGCAGGAGGAGGGGGCCTCGGCCTCTCTCGCTCTTTTGGAGCTCTTTCTCTCTGATTGCAATTTTCTCAACGCGCATTCGCTTGCTCTCTCCCGCTGCTCTCTCTCGCTTTCTGTACTATCTGTTGTAGTTGCTTTTCATTACATTTGTTGTTTTTGTTGTTGCTGGCTTGCCATCGATTTTATGCTTTGTCGTTGCAATTAGTTCTTCTTCTGTTGCTTGTTTCTTGTCTGCACTTTTAGTTCTCATTTTCCTTTTACCCCATCTCCTTGTTGTTTTTGCTATTGAGGTCCTCCCTCCATTTCCATCTCCCTATTTGCTATTTGTTTGTGTGCGAAATCTGGTGCCTACAGCGATACTTTGATTATCGACTGACGGGGGGTTAATGGGGGACCCCAAGTTTATTGTCCAGAAGTTGAGTTGTAGGAATGGACGTTCTTCATTTCAGTCCTGCCTGGGTAGGGCCTACTTACTCTGGGTTTGTGTGGTGATTGAATCTTCTTCTTGGTAGATTTTTGGTGAGAGTGCTAGTACCACCATCAAAAATAATATTTTATTTTATTTTTATCTAAAATTCTAATAAAATAATATTGTTTTTTAGAGTCAATTTTCCGTCTTTAACTATTATAAATGCATTTTCAATTTTCATACAAGTCTAGCATCTGATGTTCAATTTCCGATCTTTACTCCCTCATAAGAGATCTCCATAAAATTCCCTAGATATAGAAGAAGCTTTGCTCGACACCTGCGTGGCTCAAGAACAAGGCCAATAGACTCTTGAAGACCCAACAAACAACAGAGCCACAAAAAAACCCACCTTGACAGAGTGCTACGACCAATGTTGACCTATAACTGATTCTCTGTTGTTGTACTGTTGTTCTTCTGGTTTGCTGATTTTGTTGCTTGTCTCTTTTTTTTCAACTAATTCCTCTTTTAGCCACGAAATAATCAGATTTTTTTGCGTCGTTTATAACTCGATTAGGCAAAAGAAATAAAACAAAATTAAGCGAGAGAGAGAATAAAAGAGCAGCGTCAAGGTCTTGACTTTGCCTTCTGGCAGGGCACACGCAGAGTTCAAACGCAACTACAGTAATCACTCATAAATCTGGATATGTATCATGAGATAATGTTCTAAGTATGAGCTGTCCGTCGGGTTTAAAGTTTTAGTTTAAAAATCTAAAAACCCCAAATCAAAGCATTGAAATTATTATATTTACAAATAATAATAAAATAAAGTTGAAATATCTTTTGAGTGAAAAACTAGAGTTTAGTGACCACTGTACTAACAAATACAAACAAACTCTTTTCTAACCAGTCCACGCAATTTATGAATGATCGTCAAAAGCGTACGGTTATTAACCAACACAAGTGCGGCAAAAAAAAACGGCGCGTGTGCTCGAAAATGTTTGCAAAACTTTTTCGGCAACTTTTTTCGCGAATCACTTTGTGGGCTGCCTTTTTATCTCTTTCTCTTTGCTTCGCGCGCTCATTTCTGATTTCCGTAAACGAAATCGATTAAATAATGAGTAAGGCGAACAAAAAATCAATGCCGAAAGAAAATAAATATTTGAATATTCAATTGCAAATGCAAAAATAAATAAGAGAGAAAAGAGTTATTAAAAATAAACAATCGGTTTTTTCGCTGGTTCGGAAGGAAACCCCCTCCCAAAAATACCTTCTTCCTCTAACGTAGCACTTAACTAATTCAACAAAACTACGACGTACCCACAACTCTGACAACTCAATGAAATCAATAATAAAAAAAGGAGGCAAAACAAAAAATAATGAAAAGCACACAAAAGCATCATCAACATCGTCATGATGATAATAAACGAACATGAACTACGCAGTTATAAAATTTAACTAGATACTTATAGAAAATCAGGCAATATACCGAGACAGAAGGTTCGCCTTAGGCTTCAGGCAAAAAGTATAAAGATTTTTTTGAAATATAGAGGGGGATATAGTATAGAAACATTTTGGAAACAATAGCTTTCTCCTATGAAGTATAGTTAGGACGGAAATAAGTGATTTAAATGTGATTTATAGACTCAAATTGGAACCATTTTTATGGGGAAATGCGAGACAAGAGCAACAGATTTTTTAAAAAATTTTTTTTAGTTCTATTGTATTTTTTCAAATATTTTAAACTCTTTGGTTTCCAATTAATTACAATTTTCTAAACCCTTTATTGAGTGGCTATAGTTATTATTTTTTGGTTACCATTTAGTGCACTTAATTACTCAAATGAACTCTTGACAAATGTTTTTCACCAGGGGTTGTCTCACCCTTCCCATTTCTATATTACGTATACGTCGCGTTGTTCAGTGCAATTATTTATTTTCATTCGTGGCTTCCCTGTCCCTCGATCTTCGTGGTCGGCGTCGTTTCGTGTGTATTTAATTTAATAAACAAATAATATTTATGTTTATTCTTGATCGAATTTCGTATATCTTATTTTCCTATCAACCATTTTAAATTAATTCAGTTCTGATTGTCTATCTCGTTCTGCTCTGCTATTTCACAGGAATTTGATTTCTACAATTTACTGCAATGTGCTAGAAAAACTGAACCGAAGAAATTGATTAACTCTACGAGATAAAGCTAAAGAAAACAACAAATTGAAAACCCATGCGTGAGCGATTGACGACGAAGTGGAAAAGTGCAACAAATATATGAATACAAATATAGATCAACGTGTGAAGCCCAAAATCAAATCCTTAGTCAACCAAGATCACCAAAATATTTTCATAATTTATAAGAAATATTTCAAGTGTGATAGCAAGTTCTAAAACACCTCAAAAGAAGTCATATTCAAAAACGAATCATCAACTGCAAAACCGAATCAAATCGAATTGATTCGATTAACAGCTGTGCTGTACACATGCACCTGTGTGTGTGAGGGGGCGCGCGCGTGTGCGTGTACGTGAGTGTTACGTGTGTGTTTTTGTGTGTTACGGTGTGTGTGTCAGTGTTGGTGGCGAAAATTGAAACGCCCGCTAAACAAAGTCAAGCGCTAGATGGCGCTGTCGCTGCCGCCTTTGACCAGTGTTGTTGTTGCTGTTGACGGTGTGCCCCACGTTGTTGTTGTTGTTGTTGATGCTCCAGCTAATAAAACGCGGAAAGGCGAATTATAACCGCCCACCAACCCCACAACACAAATACAGTCGGATAAATAAATAAATTTCAATTTATTAACATAACAAAATCAACAGTAAGTCCCAACAAAAGAAAAACATAAAAATAAGTAATAATATCAAGAGTTTCGCATTACCCATCGTCGGTCGGTTCAAATTGCGTCGCGTCGCGTCGCGATCGTCGCTAGTCCTCGGATCGCATCGGAACGGAACATTATAGTACGGACGGTTACGGATCAGATCGGATCGGATCGGATCAGTTGGCAGTCGGTGGCACCTGACAACGCAACGCTAACCGCTATTATGCATCGGCGTCGTCGGTTGGCCAGTGCAAAAATCGCATTCGAATTGGCGGGCGAGCAGCAGCTAAAACAACTGACAGAACTTAATTAATAAAAAATAAAAAAACAGAGAATTAACAACAAAAAAATAGACATTAAATAACCCATAGTTTTACTAACTAATCAAAACCCAAGGTATACATACCATAACTTTTTCCGTGGCCCCAAATAATCCAAGAATCGTCTGCAATCCTGGATTATTTGCTAAAGACTTTGCGCACGCTGAAATCCAATTCGATTATGGCCGAGAATCAAAGTGCGGCCAGCGAAGATTCCGGTCACCAACAGCAGCAACAGCAACAGCAACACCAGCAACATCAGCAACCACTAGCCACCACATCAGTAGTTAGCGCCGCTTCAGCCACATCGTCTTTAGCTAACCAGTCGCCCACTAACTCGCAGGCCTCATCCCCTGAAAATTCCCAGGAAGCACTGCCTCTGGTGCGACGCCAGCAATCAGCAGCAGTAGCAACAGTAGCAGCAGCAGCAGCAGCAACAGTTGCAGCAGCCACCAGTAGCAACACTTCGCAGCAGCAACGCAGCAGCATCAGCAACATGTTTGATCGCACGGTTAATGCCAAGTTCAAGCCGACGGCTTCAAATTCTGGACCCGGAAACAATCCTGGGCGCAGGAACTCCATGCTCACACCAGCCAGGGGCGTCAGTGTGGGCGGGACAGGCGGCAACATGCGAAAGCTGACCAAGGTCAACTCGCTGACCAGCAATCATCACTTTTCCGTGTGCTATCCACCCAGCAACATCTATCAGAATAGCAACAATTCCGGCAGCAATTCGCCATTGCAGCGCACCACCAGCGAGAGTTTGCGTTTGAATTCCTTGAGTCGCGTGGCAGCAGCGACAGCGGCAGCCACATCGGTGTCCCGGGCCAGTAGCAACTCCAGCCTGGCCACATCCACCTCCACATCGCTGGCACCCAAGTCCACCAGCAGCAGCAGCAACTCAGCAACCCCCCAGCAGCAGCAGCAGTCGGTGGGCAGTAGCAACAGTAGCAACAGCGGCAGCAGCAGCAGCAACAGCAACAGCTTCACCAAGGCCAGTTCGCCCAACAACAATGGAGCACGTTCGGTGGGCGGTGCAACGGCAACTGCAGCTGCAGCTGGCAGTCATCACCATCAGCCACATCACCACCATCATCATCATCACCACCATCAGCATCACAGCCACCAGCAGCAGCAGCAACAGACTAGCCTTAGCCAAGGTCATGCCTCGTTGACTGTCGCCGGTGGTTCAGCTGGTGGAGGTGGCTCCTCGGGAACTGCTGGCGGCGGTGCCACTAATCGCAAACCAAAGACGACTTCCTCATTCGAGATCACCTCGGTGACGGTGGGCCATCCCAAGCTGAATGCTGCCGGCGATACGGGAGACGAATCGGCCGATGATCTGGACGAATCTCACACGGATGACAATAGTCGGATAACGGACCTCGAGAACGAGACGCCCTCGATGTCGGAGGATACGTTCTCCAAGGAGGAGGTTTACTATGCCAACAATGCCCTCAGCACGAATGCGCCGGTGATACCGACTAGCTCGCAATACGGCCTCGTGGTGGTGGATCCCATCGGGCCCTCGCTCGGCCAGACGATCCAGAATGTCCAGGTGAACGTGTCGGATAATATTATCAATGTGGTGAGCGGTGCCGTCACACCGGGCGGCACTAAGAAGAAGGACGACATCAAGGAGACGCAGCATCGCAGCGAGCGGTTCAAGGTGGTCAAAATTGAGTCCACGGAGCCGTTTAAGCGTGGTCGCTGGATGTGCATGGATTACCTGGACCACTCAAGTGTGGGCAATGGTGGTGGTAATAACAACGAAAAGACTGGCTCTTCTACTTCCGATGCGCACGCAGCCACGGCGGATGGTGCAGCAGCAGCAGCAGCAGGTGGCTCGGAGGCCCCAGTGCCCCACAAGACCACCCAGAGTATGATTCTACCGCCCACGCAGAAGCTGAACGAGAATCACCTGGAGGCCAACTCGACCGATGCCAATTGGAACTATGCCGATCAGCAGCAGCAGCAGTCGCAGCAGCAACAACAGTCGCAGCAGTCCCAGCAGCAATCCTCGCAGCAGCAGCAGCAGGCTCAGATAAGTGCCACGCCCAGTGGGGTGATGACAGCCCCCGCCACAGTGGTTCATGGGATGCATCAGCTGCACATGGAGGCCCAGCAGCAGCAGCAACAGCAGCAGCAGCTCTTCGACAGCGTCAATGCCAATGCCAGCTCACCCAATCCACCCGGTGACCCCAACAACATGGACTATGCTCGAACGGCGGCCATGCAGCTGCAGCAAACGTTGCAGCAGCTCAAGCAGCGCGAAGATGCCATGGACGTGCCGCCGGGGGGCTATCCAAATTACCAGAACGGCGGTGATGCTGCAGGCGGGGCAGCGATCAACAACAACAACAGCGGCGGTGGAGCGGCGGGAGAGTCGCAGCTGAGCACCAGCTATGTGGAGCAACAGCAGCCGCTGTCGCCGACACCACTTACGCCCCAGGCCGCGCCCACATTCGCAGCTGTTGCTGCCGGGCAGTCGCCCAACTTCCAATTGGAGCAGCAGCAGCAACAGCAACAAGCAACATCGCAGATTGATGGGATAGTCTCACAGCCATTTAACCCACAACAACAGCAGCAGCAGGCCCCACAGCAATCGGCAGCCCAGCAAACAGCAGCAGCAGCAACATCTGCAGTTGCTGCACCACCACCACAACAGACTTCAAACACTTCCAATGCAGCGGTAACCACTGGCCAGGGTCAGACATTACCGTTGTTATCACACATGACCAGCTACGAGCAGCAGCAGCAGCCTAATCTAGGAGCAGCAGCAACAGGAGGCAACGCAGCAACATCAGTGGCTGCACCGCCAGCAATTCCCACGCTGCAATTGCAGAGTGCCCCTGCAACAATTGCCGATCCACAGCAATTGATGGTGCCACAGGAGGAGCAACATCAGCAGCAGCAGCAGCAGCTAACACAGCAGCAACAGCAACAACCGATTCCGCCAGCAAATATCGCGAGTGCTAGTGCCAATAATAGTAATCTAAACCTAACGAATACCAATGTTGTGGCCACCGCCGAGGCAACGACTAACGCGCTGACCTTGACCGATGAACAGGCGACCGCGGCAGCAACCGCTGCAGTTGCAACCGGAGCTGCGGCAGCAACAGGAGCCACATCGACAGCAGCAGCAACGCAGCAGCAAATCCAACAGCTACAACAGCAACCAAATGCAGAATCCGAGACTGAAAGGTGAGTCACAAGAAAAATATATCTCTAGTATTACAAGCAAAATATATCTATACACAGAGGAAAAAACGGAACAATATGGAACTGATATTGTTTCATATCAATTTTTCTATAACAAAATGGTATGTTTTCATATCAATATGGTACAAAATCATATGTTCGGAAATATCATTTTGATATGAAAACAGATGGGACCAAAATTGACATGAAAAAATACCCGATGTATGACTATTTTTTGTCTTTTTTTTCTCTGTGTAGTATTACAAAAATAGATATTAGAATGTAGGATAGAAACCTGAAATTGACAATTGAATATTGATACAAATTAATAATTAAATTAGCCAATTGAGCTATACTTTTATACTAAGAAAATCCTAAAAAAAAATTTTTTTTTATATGTAATTCAACATTTTTTTTCCTTTATTAATTCCCAAAATTCCAAATCGATTCCCCAGAAATTTCTACCAATTTTATTAGGGGGAAATCAAATCTATTTAGTTCAATGGGTTAATGTATTTGCCTGCTATCTTATCGAGTTTTCCATTTTCCTCTTCAAATTCATTCACAAAAACTTGTGACTTTGGTTTTCCGCTTTTACGACAACCTGGCATTTGGTTGTCTTATCTCAAATAGTATTGGGCTGATCAAATATTTACACGATTATACACAAAACGCTGCCGCTCTGTTTACTTTTTGTACGGGGGACTTAATCAATTAAGTCAAAGACGACTAGAAAGACGGTCCCGAAAGTTATTTACGGACAGAGCCGAGGTTTGCCTTTGGTTTGCATTCGACTATATTTAGAACGCATAAACGTTGTTTGAACAAGTTTTGAGAATGCCCGATGCCCTGACAGCCCCTACAGCCCCTCCGGTGCCCTCCCCCCCTTGAATATTATCGTCTAGGGCTAGTTTCAGGTTCATTTCGAGCCGCTAAAGTGCCAACACGCGCCGCCTTCTCTTTCTCATTGTGTTTTGCCGTCTCTTTCGGTCACAAGAAATAATTTCGCCACTCAAATAATTTGTTGTTGGCTCTTTTTTATAGTTTTTTTTTCTTATATTTTTTTTTTAGTTTTGTTTGTTTGCAAATTTGCTACGTCCATTTGCTGGAATTGCTTGCTTAGGCGGGAAGCGTAAAAAAGAGAGAGAGAGAAAGAGAAAGACCCCTAATAGAGGGTAAACCTCATTATAATAATTTATTTAATAAAAATTCATCAATGAAATTAGCCATGGAATGTTTGCCCAGAAAGCGAGCAGCGGTATATTCTGTTTTTTTTTTCGGGAACTGATGGGAAAGTTGTGGAAAAGGGGGAATGGACGGGATCGACGTGTTTTTGTGGGGGCGGTGGCTCTACAACCACAACAATACGAACGTGACACAAAAGGTCGCTTTAATTAAGTTCGTTTTAAAGCGTACAACAGTTTACCCAATTGCCGTACACTGTGAAAATAATGAAAATATTGTTCTGGCATACCTACCAAATTGAAATAATAAATTCAGATACATTCAAAAGTTGAGTCAATTTTTAATGGTAGTTAAGCCTCTTAAACTTAACTTAACTCCAGCTTACCATTTTTAAGCTTATTTTTAAAAGAGGAGTTCATTTAATCGACGCTATGAATAATGCCAGTTATTTATTACTTAATTGATTAATTAAATTTATTTATTTACAAAATAAGAAACTACTTATTGGTTAATTGTATTCATTACTGTTCAGTTTAATGCAATACATTACAGATTGCACTTATCCGTTTGTATTTCGCTTTAATAAACTATAAAATGCTTTCTTCGCCAATTGAAACGAAATAATTTTTATTTAGCTCTTTGTTTTTTGAGTATTTCCAAACTAACTGATTGAACTTTTTTCAGGCTAAAACTTTGTGACAGTTTTTTTTTCGTTTTTATTATTGCCATTCGGACTGATGACTAATTTGTTTGCCATAGAAAAAGTTTATTGGATGACTCACTTTTTGGGGTTTTGCATGTGCTGCTAAATAGGTTGATTAAACTAGAGAAATGCATACAAAAAGGGGGATCTTTTTCGGTAGTTTATATACATTGAGCAAATGCCAAGAGATTAAAGAGAGACCAAAGTCAAGGCAAGTGAAACATGTGTGTAGATACAGATACAGCGGATACAAAAGATATGTGTATATTATATTCTTGGCAGATTGCGCATTTGCGTGTGACGAGGAGCGAGTCAAGTGCCTGCAACCCCCTTAACACCCCGCCCCTTTTAGTCACTCCCCATATTTCTGAACGATCGTCCCTCTTTATTTTTTTCTTTTTTTTTTGTGCTTCCCCAACGAGAAATGCAACTGGAAAATGTAAAAAAGGGGCAGACTATGGCAGCAAAAGGCAAATTACAATGAATTATGTGGCTTGGGTATTAAAAATAGCCGGCACCCAGGGCCGTGGGCTGCAGAGGGGGTTTCATGGAGGGCCCAGGGGGGTGACAATGCGTCGTATGAGTAATGCCTCCCCATATGTACACTTGGAAGTGGTTTGTTCGTGCTTGCGTTTGTCGGCTTAGCAACAACTTGAAGACCAAAACGGCCTGCACTTGACAACTTCTCCACAACCAACCCAACCAACCAACCAACCCCCCTCTCAATCTTCATTTCACATTTATTTTTCTCCATCTCGACTTACTCAGACAGACAATTTGTCCATGTTTTCTTTATTAGAGCAACTGATTGATGCACTGGGCCCAAGGGCGTCTCACCCATGGTTTTCCACATTTTCCCCACTCTCCTCGAGATCCACTTGCGTCACTTACATTGGGACAAGTGGCCATAGAGGAAAAGGAGTGAGGAAAACCAGTTTGAGCCCTGCGTAATGAAAAGGAAAGTCTTTGCTGAATGACACTCAATGTGGCCTGTTGCAACAATTGCAATTGTATCTCACTTTACCTTATATAAAAGAAGAGGAGTATTTTATTGGATTCAAATTGAATAACAACTATTAAGGGGGACTTACTTGTAAAATTAAATTAAGGATCTTAATTTATATGAACTTTTAGCAACTGCAATGTTATTTGGTACTTAATTAAAAAGAATAAAAAATATTAACTAAAAATATAATAATTTTTTTTATTCCCAAATTTAAATCAAATTCTAAATAGATCTTTAATTTTTTTTTTTTTAATCATTTTCCTTTATTAATTCAAATTGTGTAGATCCTCTGAATTATCACCATGATTCTCTTGAAATCAAAGAATGTTTATTACTAGAATATAAATCGCTGCTTGCGTCCGAGAAGCATCTGGAATATAAATTCTATTCCCTTCCGTTGAAATTTGCAATATTTGAATATCTTTAATGACAAGAATAAATTCCATTAACTTCTTATGCCCGACTTGGCCCCATGGTCAAATGTTGTCATCGTCCAAGAGCTGAGCTCATAACTTTTGCTCAACACACACACTGGAAGCTAATTTGCCTTTGTCCAAGCTGCCAATTAGTCGAGCAGAAGTAATCAAAATGTCGCTGTAAAGCAGAATACTTTATGCGAAAATGTCTGGTAATATTCTTTTTCTTGGTCTTATTGCATTCGTCATTTATTAAGGGACTGTTTTACAAATTACATATTTAAATTAAAACAAAAAATGTGTAAAAATTTGTAAACATGTGCTATAATTTCAAGGAAAATATTTAACATCTATTTAGTAGAATATTTACTTTTCAAATAATATCCTCGAGTTTTAACTCTCAATATTTTGAAAGATATATAGATACAATGTAATGCGCTTACTTTCCATTTATATGAATTCTTTAAGTTTTAATTTATATCATATATATAAAATCAAAACTTATAAACAAACAATTTTTTTTTAAGATTTTTAAAAATTCATATGTATTTTTGTTACTTTACCCATCACATGATTGTTGCCATGCGGATTCCTTCTTCTTTTTCGCAGCTTTGGCTGAATCTTTTCCGGACTTTGTTGCTATAATTTATATTGAACAATGTTTCACTCAGCCGCCTCTGTCTCGACTCCTCTGGATATCAAGTGATTGTGTTGTGTGCCTTGTGTGTGTAGGCAATTGACAGATTTACTGCAATTGGTTTTGGTTTGCCGGAGGCAACGACCCGATCATCGTTTCCAGAGAGCCAGGAAAAATGCGTCACCCGGCGGTAAAGAAGAACCGATAAGAAGGGGACACCTTTACCAAATCCCCCTGGAAACATGAAACTATATGGGCAGTGGATGTGATTACCTCATGCGTTGCTTAAATCGCGACCAAGGCAGGGCCATGTATATGTATCGTATATATATCGAAATGTTAACTTGACGCGTGCCTGGCATTGACCGACTTAGAATAATTGAAAGAGCCCCGAAACAGGAGCTGGGAAATGGGGAGGTTAGGCCTGTTCTTGGATTCCAATGACCTCGACCAGTGAACTTCCGTAATGGGAGGAACGAACCGAGGGAGAGGCGCCCAGAAATGCTTTGTCAATTACTCATTCTCCTTCGATCGAAGTTGATTCACTTATATACATTCACCACCGAGCGGAATCAACAATAATAAAGTATGAATAAAGAAGTAGCCAATGAAATAGAAGAGGAAGAATCAAATTGAGTATTCAACAGTGTTCTTAATGTCATTATTGTTTTGTTTTTGCATTTTCCGTTTACTTGGACAGCGACGTTAAAATCTATGTCAAAGTCACAGAGAAAGGTATAATATATTCAGGTTTGTCAGATTTTCGAACTGATCACTCATACAAAAAATATGAATGGACACCTGCTCGAGCATTTTCGTGCTCATATTTCCAATGGCAAACTGAAGAATTTTAGCCATCATTTGTTAGAGTAAAATATGCTAAATTTTAAAATATTTTTTTTGGTTTAAAAAATTACAATTTTTTAGGCGTTTGGATTTTATTTGAATTCCAGCTTGGAAAGTTTTAGGAAATATTTAATTTGGTAATATGAAATCCTTTTCAAAAATATTTGATTAAAATTGATTTCTTCCCTAAAAACGCATGTATATTTGGGA